CTTCTTTTAAGGGCTAGACAGTGTTTGTTTTTGTTTTTGTCTTCAGGCTGGAATATATGTTTTATATATTCATATATTTCATATGTTTCCTGTATTTTCACTTTTTAAGAAATAATTTCCTTCATCTCCCCTTTGGTCTACATGCAAAAGCTACAAGTTAATAATTCAGAATAAATGACAGAATCACAGGAAGATACAATATGATGCACCCCCAGAGAATTTTACATAAATAATTTTAGATCAAGGAGTATCTCCTACTATATACAGTAATAATATAACCTTACACTTCGTAGTACTTTACAGTTCAAGATACTTCTCTATACATTATCTAGTTTAACCCTAAAAATAACCCTGTTACAGATATTTTTAAGTATAATCAAAAATCCTCAGACGGATAAAGCAACTTTCTTAGAGATAGCAAATGGTGAAACAGAAATACAAACCTGGTGGGGGGGGTCTTTCTTTTTTTGTGAGACAGAGTCTCACTCTGTCACCAGGTGCTAGGCTGGAGTGCAGTGGTGCAATCTCGGCTCCCAGGTTCAAGCAATTCTCCTGCCTCAGTCTCCCAGGTAGCTGTGACTACAGGCGCACACCACCATGCCCAGCTAGTTTTTTGTTTGTTTGTTTTTTTGTTTTTGTATTTTTGTATTAGAGATGGGGTTTCACCATGTTGGCCAGGATGGTCTCGGTCTCTTGATCTCGTGATCCACCAACCTCGGCCTCCCAAAGTGCTGGGATTACAGGCTTGAGCCGCTGCTCCCAGCCCAAACCTGGGATTTCTTACCATTCGTCCATTTTTACTACAGGTTTTCATTGTTCTCGGAAGAATGGCTCAAAGTTTCCCTTGTTACCCACCACCCATTGCAGTCATGATACTGTTCCAGATGCCTAATGTAAATGTATCCTGAGGAAATTGAAGATTACTAAATTCCTGTCACTTGAGCTAAATTAACTTTCCCAAGGTCTTATATGGAAGGTAAATTATCATAGTTTCTAAATCAGTAGGAAATAAGGCTTTTTCTTTCAAAATATGCATGATCTAGAATAAGAATCAGCAAACTCTTTCTGTGAAGGGCAAGATGGTGCATATTTCTGGCTTTGTGGGCTAGACAGTCTCTGTGAAACTACTCAACTCCATTGTAGCATGAAAGCAGCCTTAAGCAATATGTAAACGGATGGACATGGCTGGGTCCCAATAAACTTTATTTATAAAAACAGGAGCAGGACGGATTTGGCTCATGGGCTGTGGTTTGCCCACCCTGATCTAGAAAATGCCACTTCATTCACTCCAGAAAGGTGAAGAGTAAGATCTAGGTTGTCCTTACTGAGGCACCAAGAGAAACACATGGTAGAGAGAAGTGAATATTCTTATATGTTAGGGTTTGGTTTTGTTGTCATTTTATACAGGGAAGGGGTTGAGGAGGGGCTGATCTGGTAACCCTGCAAGCCTGTATTCTCTAAGCTGCATGACAGAAAATATTCTTGCCTCTGGCTAAAGGCATAGCCAGAGAGATATAATGGCATGTATCCTGTAATGCCACACATGCCTCCTGGTTTCTTATGTATTGTTCTGGGAGCCAGTGGGTACACAAAGATGAGTACAGCTCATTGGCAACCTTCCAAAAGTTCACTGTCTGAGGTAGGGATAGAAGAAGAGGTAATGAGGACAGACAAGTGTGCAAAAAAAAAAGTGCAAAGAAAAATGTGGAAAACAGTAGTAAGGAAGTGTTTCAAAAGTGTACTAAGAAGACAAAGGTAAGGGAAACGAGCTTTGTCCTGGGTGAGTAGGGTGGCGTGACAGGAAAGGATGACATCTCACCAGACCATGAGGAATGTGAGGATCCCAAAAGGAGCTGCTGGAAGGTTAAGTCAGCAAGAAGAAACTGTCAGCATATGGGTACAGAGTTGCAGGGCAAGTGCAGAAAATATCATAATCCCCCCTACCTAGAGCATGGGACAGGTGAGGAGACAGAGAGGGAGAAGTAGGAGCCGGAAATCCAACCAAACCTTCCTGAGAGCCTGAACGGTGAAGCTGGGTATTGAGATTTTATTCCACAACATAAAAGAACCTGAGTTGTTTTGAGCAGACACATAAGCAAGACCAGAACTGAACTTTACTTAGAGAATATCACCAGTAGTGCGGGGAAAGCTGGGTTCGCTATATGAACCTGTAAGAACTCCAGAGCAACACTGTCTAAGATAAATATAATGTGAACCACAAATGCAAGCCATATCTGATATCTGTGATTTTAAAATTTCTTGTTAGCTGCAATTTTAAACAGTAAAAAGAAATAGAATTAGTTGTAATAATATCATTTAGTACAATTTCTCCAAAACATAGTTTCAATGTATAATCAATATAAAAATGATAAATGAGACATTTTACAATATTTACCTCACACTAGGTCTTCGAAATCCAGAGTATATTTTACATGAAGAGAAAATCTCAGTTCACATTTGCAGTATCGTAGCAAGTGGGCACCATATAGGCCCGAACAGGTCTAGAGCCTAAGAGAGAAGAGGCCTCCAGGAAGGGACCGTAGGCGTAAGGTGGAGGTGAGATCAGAGGATGGTTGTCTGAGGATGCCTGGCTGTTTATTTCAGCAAGTCCCCTTGTGCCCCAAGCTCTTTTAGAATAGCCATCATGGAAATAATTGCTGTGCCTTTACAAAATAAACTGTTCATAAAATTCTATGCAAACTCAGAAAACACTGTTCTATCTAAAGGTAGGTAAACTATTAAGGTGAGTAAACTCTCAGACACTGTATACTTGTCAGGGTTCTCTAGAGGGACAGAACTAATAGGACAGATGTATATATAAAGGGGAGTTTATTAAGGAGTATTGACTCACAGGATCATAAGGTCCCACAGTAGTCCATCTGCAAGCTGAGGAGCAAGGAAGCCAGTTCAAGTCCCAAAGCTGAGGAACTTGGAGCCCAGTATTTGAGGGCAGGAAGCATCTAGCACAGGAGAAATATGTAGGCTGAGAGGCTAAGCCAGTCTAGTCTTTTCACATTCTTTGCCCTGCCTTTATTCTGGCTGCATTGACAGGTGATTAGATTCTGTCCACCTAGATTGAGGGTGGGTCTGCCTTTCCCAGTCCACTGACTCAAATGTTAACTCTTTTAGCAGCATCCTCACAGACACAACCAGAAACAATACATTTCATCTTTCAATCCAATCAAGTTGACACTCAGTATTAACCATCACAGTTTATATTACAATAGTTATAATATGGTGTCTCAACCTTAATATTTTTGAACTGAAAAGACTCTTAACTATTATTTTTTAAAAACTTCCAATTTTACAAATGGTGGAGACTCAGTATACTCAACTAGCTATTACTCCTGGGACTCCCTCCCCAATTTTCTTCCCTTTTTCCTTTCTTTCTTTTCTTTTTCTTTTTCTTTTTCTTTTTTTTTGAGATGGAGTCTCACACTGTCTCCCAGGCTGGAGTACAATGGTGCAATCTTGGCTCACTGCAATCTCTGCCTCCTGGGTTCAAGTGATTCTCCTGCCTCAGCCTTCCCAAGTATCTGGGACTATAGGTGCCTGCCACCATGCCCAGCTAATTTTTATATTTTTAGTAAAGACAGTGTTTTGACATGTTGGCCAGGTTGGTCTCGAACTCCTGATCTCAGGTGATCCACCCGCCTTAGCCTCCCACAGTGCTGCGATTACAGAAGTGAGCCACTGTGCCCGGTCTCCTTTTTCTAGATTTTATGTGTGTGTGTGTGTGTGTGTGTGTGTGTGTGTGTGTGAGTGTGTGAAGGACAGAACAGGATCATGGAGAAGCTTTTTCAAGACACAAATGTCTGGGCCCCATTCTGATCTACTGAATCAGAGACTCACAACCAGATTAGTTAAAATAAATACATAAATAAATAGATAAATAAAAACTCACAACCAGATTAGATCTAATGAATCAGAGACTCATGGCCATTGCTAATCTACAAGGAGGCCTATATTATCACAGGAAATTTAGCAAAATGTTTAGAATATTTTTAAACCAGAATTCCTGAAAGGTAAAAAGCTTATTAGAAATACTTTATCAAACTATTTGGAGTGTTGGCGTGGGGGGCGGGGCAGGAAGGGAGGAAGGGGAGTGAGAGTGAAAAAGGACTCAGAGATATTCATGGCACATTCAGAAATAATAATGACTGCTAAAGTCCTTCATCAGAGAGAGGACCCAATAATCTGCAGCTCTGTTGATGGTGGTGACTCCGTGTGTGTGTGTGTGTGTGTGTGTGTGTGTGTGTGTGGTGTGTTTGTGTAAAGTCTGGGAATGAAACTAACCTGGCATACTAAGAAAGAAAAGTAAGGTTGAGGCTATTATCAACTGTCTTCATTTTTCACCTTCTTAGCAGCCACAGCAGCACCTCTTCAAACAAACAAAAAAACAAAAAACAAAAAAGAGGGAGGGGGATGCTCAATAATACCATTTTAGGCATTTCATTAACCTGACCATAATATCAAACTATGGGGTATTCTAAGACACACATTTATCAGTTCGGATCTAGCTAGGATTGTGTAGTCTAAAAAGCTCTCCAGGTGATCTGCATTGCAATCTTCCCCATAAAGGGAAAAACCATGATAGCAATACTTCCTAATTTTAATGTGTATACCAATCGCATGGGGGTTTGTTAAAATGCATATTCTGAGTTATAGGTCTGGGGCTAAGCCGGGGATTCTGTGCTTCTAGCATGCTTCCTGCATGATACTGAGGTTGCTTGTCTGCAGACCACACATTGCTTAGTAAGGCCCCAGAACATCAAATATTCATCTGAACACAGTAATATAAATATTCTCAGGTATTTCCTCCTTTTACACACTGTATTCCCAGCTTCAAGCCCTGTAGTTCTTTTTTCTCAGAGGGCCTGGAATTGGAAAAGAGATGAGGAATTAAGAGATCACAGCAGCCTGAGCTGCAAATCCTGCCTAGGAGTACACCTGTCCTTTGAGGCTCATTTCTCTTCATCCTTTCGCCTCTCTGTTTTTAGGTATCAAAGCTTGAAAGAGAGAAGACTCAAGAAGCAAAGAGGATTCGTGAGCTGGAGCAGCGCAAGCACACGGTGCTGGTGACCGAACTCAAAGCCAAGCTCCATGAGGAGAAGATGAAGGAGCTGCAGGCTGTGAGGGAGAACCTTATCAAGCAGCACGAGCAGGAGATGTCAAGGACAGTGAAGGTGCGCGATGGAGAGATTCAGAGGCTCAAGTCCGCTCTCTGTGCTCTCCGTGACGGCAGCAGTGACAAAGTAAGGACAGCGCTCACCATTGAGGCCCGGGAGGAGGCCCGGAAACTGTTTGATGCAGAGCGCCTTAAGCTCTTACAGGAAATTACGGACCTGAAAACGGCCAAGAAGCAGGTGGACGAGGCTTTGAGCAATATGATCCAAGCAGATAAAATCAAGGCTGGGGACCTTCGGAGTGAGCATCAGTCCCACCAAGAAGCCATCTCGAAGATCAAGTGGGAGTCGGAGCGGGATATTCGGAGGCTGGTTAGTACAGTAATCACACCAGACCCATGCAGAATCCTTCTCTTCCAGGTTTCAGAGTGCCGTGGGATTTGCTTCTTCATATGTTTTCTTGTCAGTAGATTATAAACAGTGCCTACCTTTTGTCCAATGCTCTATCCAAGATAGATCAGTAGGTACGTAGGTAGTTCAGTAGAGAGATATGCTCAGGCCAAAATTGAAAATTGTAAAATGTAAGAGATTTTGGAAATTGCCTTTCTCATAAGAACTGGATTCTCCAAGGCCCATATCTATTCAAGGACTCCTGTTTTCTTAGATATTTATAAAAATATTCTAAACTGTGAACTTTTCTAAAGTAGCATGTTTTCGTCGGCTTTTCATTTATTTATATAGTTTTATTGTTTTATTTTTTTAAATAGAGGGTAGGAGAAGTTTCTATGACTTTCATGGTGTCTGAAAATGGCAGCTACTTAGAACATCTTGAGTCTTTTTTTCCAGGAACTAGATACGAAACTATAAAAATCCTAGTTATTTTAACATAGATATTTTCCCCAAAGTAAACAGGGGTCATTTAAAACAGGAGCCATTATAATTTTTAAATTGATTTTCATCCCTAAGCATCTTATTTGCTATTTATAGTTTCTAAGACTTAACTCAGCCCCTACAGAGTTGGGTCTTTCCTTCTAACATGTATGACCAAAAACCAGATAGGCCTCTCACTATGCTTAAATATAATACAAATATAATTATAATCTGAAAATTAGAATGTCCTAGGTTGACCTTGTGTAATTATTTTAGACTAAAAATTTTATGGTCACTTGCATTCAGATGTTTAATATCTGTTATATATCTTGTCACACTAACTATCATCTGTTAGAATGTACGTTATGCTTCTCTGGAAAAGGTTTTTTAGGAAAAACTATACTTTTCTTCTTTTGTCTTCCAGTTCAAAGCAATTACTTGCTGAGAATTCTAATTATGTTCCGTGGGTCTTTTCTCTAGGCTTTTAATTTTAAATTCAAAGTGGTTACCATAGAGCATTTTTTAAAGCTAATGTTTAATTTTCTTTGTACTGTAATACAGTATAACTGTAAAATATTGCCTTTGCCACACTTTCTGAATCTTTATGTCAACTGATTCTATTGCACTGTTTGACAATAAAGACCAAACACAGTGCAGAAATATTGGTCTCTGCCCTACATTTGGTTTTTGAAACCATGGTGGCTGATGAAGAAAGAATCAGGACTTCAAACTCTGGAGATGGCAGGTAAGTATTCAATGAAAAGGAAGGTTTGCACTAAATAGTTTCATTTGTTGATGGTTTTCAATATAAGATCTGTGAGTGTATCCGCTTGATCTGCTAACTTTTTCCATGACTTTATTTCACCTGCATATTGCTGAAATAGACATGAAATCCTTCTTAATAACAATGTGAAGGGGAGGGGCCAAGATGGCCAAATAGAAACAGCTCTGGTCTGCAGCTCTTACTGAGACCAACACAGAAGGCAGGTGACTTCTGCTTTTCCAACCAAGGTACCCAGTTCATCTCACTGGAACTGGTTTGGCAGTGGGTGCAACCCACAGAGAACAAGCAGTGCAGGGTGGGGACGTTGCTTCATGTGGGAAGTACACACAGCCAGGGGACCTCCTTTCCCCAGCAAAATGAAGCCGTGAGAGACTGTGCTACCTGCCCTGGGTATTATGCTTTTCCCATGGATTTTTTGCAATCCACAGATCAGCACATATCCTCATGAGCCTACACCACTAGGGTCCTGGCTTTCAAGTACAAATCTGGGTGGCTGCTTGACCAGGCTCTGTGCTGCAGGAGTTTTGTTTTGTTTTGTTTTGTTTTGTTTTCATACTCCAGTGGCACCTGGAACTCCAGTGAGTTCCAGGAGATTGAACCACTGTCCAATCAGTGGGGGCTGAAGCCAGAAAGTCAAGCAGTCTCACTCAGTGGAGTCCCAGTCCCACTCCTGTGGAACCCAGCAAGCTAAGAACCACTGGCTTGAAATTCTCACTGCCAATACAGCAATCTAGAGTCAGCCAGGGATGATCGAGTTTGACTGGCGGAGGGGTGACCCTCTTTACTGTGGCTTTAGTTGGCGGTTTTCCCTTGACAGTGCTAAAGAGCCTGGGAGTTTGGACTGGGCAGAATTCACCACAGCGCAGCAAAGCAGCTGTGGCCAGATTGCTTCTCTAGAGTCCTCCTTACTTGGCAAGGCCTCTCTGCAGGAAATCCAGGAGCTCCACTCAGGGGCTTACAGACAGAACACTCATCTCCCTGGGACAGAGCACCTGAGGGGAGGGGTGGCTGTGGTTGCAGCTTCAGCAGACTTAATCTTTCCTACCTGCCGGCTCTGAAGAGAGTGGCTAATCCTGATGGGGGGATTCTTCCAGCACAGCGCACCAGCTCTGCTAAACGACAGATTGCCTTCTCAAGCAGGTCCTTGATGCTGTGCCTCCTGACTGGGAGAGAACTCCCAGAAGTGGTTGACAGACACCTCATATGGGAGAGCTCTGGCTGGCATCAGACCAGTGCCTCTCTGAGATAAAATTTCCAGAGGAAAGAGCAGACAGCAGTCTCCACTGGTGATACCCAGGCAATAAAGTTCTAACGGGGACCTCCAACGAACTCTGGTAGACCTACAGAAGAAAGACCTGACTTTCGGAAGAAAAACCAACAACAACAAACAAAACTAAAAAAGCAACAACAACATCAACCAAGAGACCCCCCCTAATCCCATCAAAAGGTCATCAGCCTTAAAGATCAAAGGTAGAGAAATCCACAAAGATAAGTAAAAAACAGTGCAAAAACACTGAAAATCCCAAAAACCAGAATGCCTCTTCTCCTCCAAATGATCGCACTGCCTCTCCAGCAAGGACACAGAACTGGATGGAGGACAAGATGGACAAATTGTCAGAAGTGGGCTTCAGAAGGTGGGTAGTTACAGACTCCTCTCAGTGGAAGGAGCATGTTCTAATCCAATGCAAGGAAGCTGAGAACCTTGACAAAATGTTACAGGAACTGCTACCTAGAATAACCAGTTCAGAGAGGAGCATAAATGACCTGATGGAGCTGAAAAACACACATGAGAACTTCATGAAACATACACAAGTATCGATAGCTAAATCAATCAAGCAAGAGAAAGGATATCAGAGACTGAAGATCAACTTAATGAAATAAAACATGAAGACAAGATTAGAGAAAAAAGAATGAAAAGGAACGAACAGGCTCCAAGAAATATGGGACTAGGTGAAAAAGACCAAACCTACAATTGATCGGAGTACCTGAAAGTGATGAGGAGAATGGAACCAAGTTGGAAAACATACTTCAGGGTATTATCCAGAAAACTTCCCCAACCTAGCAAGACAGGCCAACACTCAAATTCAGGAAATACAGAGAACATCACAAAGATATTCCATGAGAAGATCAACCCCAAGACACATAATCTTCAGATTCTCCACAGTCGACATGAGGGAAAAAATGTTAAAGGCAGCCAGAGAGAAAGGCCAGGTAACCTACAAAGGAAAGCCCATCAAACTAACAGTAGATCTCTCAGCAGAAGCCCTACAAGCCAGAAGAGAGTAGAAGCCAATGGTCAACATTCTTAAAGAAAATAATTTTCAACCGAGAATTTCATATCCAGCCAAAGTTTCATAAGTGAAGGAGAAACAAAATCCTTCCCAGACAAGCAAGTGCTAAAGGATTTTATCACCACCGGGCCTCCCTTGCAAGAGCTCTTGAAGAAAGCACTAAAAATGGAAAGAAAAAAGCAGTACTTGCCACTGCAAAAACACACCAAAATATAAAGAATGACACCATGAAGAAACTGCATCAACTAGCGTGCAAAATAACCAGCTAGCATCATGATGACAGGATCAAATTCACACATAACAATATTAACCTTAAATGCAAATGGGCTAAATGCCCCAATCTGGGGCAAATTGGATAAAAAGTCAAGCTCCATTGGTGTGCTGCATTCAGGAGACCCATCTCATGTGCAAAGACACACACAGGCTCAAAATAAAGGGATGGAGGAGTATTTAGTAACCAAATGGAAAACAGAAAAAAGCCAGGGTTACAATCCTGGTCTCTGACAAAATAGACTTTAAATCAACAAAGATAAAAAAGATAAAGAAGGGTATTACATAATAGTAAAGGGATAAATTCAACAAGAAGAGCTAACTATCCTAAATATGTATGCACCCAATACAGGAGCACCCAGATTCATAAAACAGGTTCTTAGAGACCTACAAAAAGACTTAGACTTCTACACAATAATAGTGGGAGTCTTTAACACTCCACTGTCAATATTAGACAGATCAATGAGACAGGAAATAAACAAGGATATTCAGAACTTGAATTCAACTCTGGATTAAGCATCCCTAATACAACAGAACTGTCCACCCTAGATCAACAGAATACACATTCCTCTCATGCCACATGGCACTTATTCTAAAGTCGACCACATAATTGGAAGTAAAACACTCCTCAGCAAATGCAAAGAACTGAAATCACAACAAACAGTCTCTCAGACCACAGTGGAATCAAATTAGAACTCAGGATGAGGAAACTCACTGAAAACCATACAACTACATGGAAATTGAACAACCTGCTCCTGAATGACTCCTGGGTAAATAATGAAATTAAAGCAGAAATCAAGAAGTTCTTTGAAACCAATGAGAACAAAGAGACAATGTACCAGAATCTCTGGGATACAGCTAAAGCAGTGTTAAGAGTGAGTGAAATTTATAGCACTAAATGCCCACATCAGAAAGATGGAAAGATCTCAAATCAACACCCTAACATCACAATTAAAAGAACTAGAGAATCAAGAGCAAACAAATAAAAAAGCTAGCAGAAGACAAGAAATAACTAAGATCAGAGCAGAAATGAAGGAGATGAAGACAAGAAAAACCCTGCAAAAAATAAATGAATCCAGAAGCTGCTTTTTTTGAAAAAATTAGCAAAATAGACCACATGCAAGACTAGAAAAGAAGAAAATAGAGAATCAAATAGA